TGCGCGACAGGTCGACCTGTTGGCAGCCGATCGCACCTCGCAACACCGCGTCGATGTGAAGTACGTCGAGGTCCTGGAGGCGGGGTGTTTTAGAAAGTGTCACTCCCACTTCCCATACATGCTGCGTATGCGGACCGCTTCTTTTCAAAGACAGCTTACTTCCATGCGCTGCCCCTGTGCAGGAAGGCGCCGTTGCCACCCCCATGGAGTACCTCCTTCAGACCCACATCGGATCGACGCGGAGCCCTGGCGCATCGACCGAGGCGCGCCATCACGCAGCGGCGTAATCTCTAACCTGATATATATGGTATAGTAAAAGTAAAGCGAGCACGTCAAAGAAAAAAAACATCTTCTCGATGATACGATGCCACAGAGTTGATTGTCAACCCCTTCGTGACTTTCGCTGCGTGCAACCTGTCAGGTACAAAATCCAGCTACCTCGCTGGTCGGCGCCGATATAACGGCGGCTGCACTGCCTACACCAAACGGCCGCAAGCGCCCATTTGCGGGCCAAGCGGCACGGGCTTTCAGGTTCATGCAGGGACATTCAAACGGACACATGCTTGAAGCCCCGCTTGCAACCGCGCCAGGCCAACCAGTGCCACATCATCGTCAATGGTGAGTGCTGGGTTGGCCAATTCGCCGTGTGGCGGTTTCCCGTGATGCAACCGTCAGACATCCAGGTTTGGGAAGCCTGCCCTCTTCCCGTGCACGCCTGGTTTGTCCCTGACAACTGTTGCATCTGCACGGCAATCGGCTCCGGCTGTGTTTCACTAGGGGGTGGCGATTACGATGGGGGCCTTTTGATGTTCACATCCAATCCCATCCTCCTTAAGTTCCTTGATTGCACGCCCAGTGGCACGGAAGTGCCCGAATTCAATGCTGCTCGAGCGCATGTAGAGGGTCTTGTGGAGAAATCCAGCCCGACCCGGTTGCGCAGCATAATGCAGTATCGAGAGCATTGCTTGCATGTTCCACCGCCGCAAATCCGAGGGCTCCTCACTGCATTGGCAGAGAGAGCCCAGCAACAAGTTTTTGATGCATCGGATCCCGAACGGGACGCGGCCTTAATTCATTGCGTCCGCCTGGCCGTCGCTGCCGAGAAGGCTATTACGACGCGCCCAAAAAGGTGGACGCCAAATCCATAATTCAATTGGGGCGCCGGCTGCTGAGAGAGGCAGGTCTGACGATCCAGTCTCCACGCTCGACTCAGCGGATCCGGGAAGCATTTAAATTAGGGCGTGTCCACAAAGAAGCGCACATTGCACTGCACGCCCTCCTGCCCCGAATTCCACTAGGCAAGGCTTGGCTTCCTTTGAATAAAGTCACCTTGTCAGCCGCTGCCGGTCACGCCATCCGTGACCGCATGTTTCACCCCAAGTGCATGAATGGCCTTGCGGATCCTTTGGAGCATATATATATATGGCGCTGGACGAAGTCGTCGGTGTCTTGTTCCACCGCTTGGCCAGCGTTCCAAATCTCCGATCGTCCGTACAGGACGGAAATTTGGACGCGTTAATTCATGTGGCACAGACCTTTTCTCGGTCCAAGCCGAAGGAAAGTAATGTAGTGGAAACAATAGAGACGACTAACCTCTATACTGAGCCAGGGCAGCTGCAATTCAATCCAACTGATTCAGATGTGATTGATATCAGCCACATTCAATCAAGTCTCGTTCGCTACTTCATACGCCAAACTACGTGCAATATCTCGCAATTGACCATCTTGCTTTAGAAGCAATATATATATATATATATCATTGCAGGGTTCAGAGTTCAGAGGTTGGAAATCTATTGACAACCGCTGCATCACTGCATGCTTCAATTTTCTCGCAATATCGCTCGTCGAAAAATGACCCGTGCTCCGCGTCCCATTTGCAGTAGTCCACAGCATATTGACACGCAAGATTTCTTGTCATGTGCCTTTTTCGCAAGCATCGCCTCCACGCTCACAATCGGATTCCTGAGGTCTGCTCTGCCCTGATCCCAACACCACTGCTTTACATGTCATCCTTCAGGCTACATAAAGGGCAGGAAGATTGCCATGTCTTTTCCTGCCAATCGCATGCTTGGGGTTGCTTTCGTGGGTCGAAACCATGTCCTGTCTAACTGGAAGTTTCTTTTTAATTCAATCAGCTGATCTCTCTTTTTTCTCTTTTCTTGATGACTCCGACGCGAGTCTCGTTTCTTCGATGCCCGTGGTCTGCATGACCGCGTGCTGCGAGTGAGAACGCCTCCCGCCTTGTGTGAACAACTGACTGATATTTTTTCCCAACCAGTGATGGTTTTCTCCACTTCCCAGTGGCCTTGGGCCAACCAAGGTGCAGAGTGGTATGGCAGGGTGACCCGTTACACCGGTCGCAAGACCCAGGAGCTGCTTCTGATGGTGCCCAAATGGTTGTTGATAAAATAATAGAACGTACCATATCCTTTGTTCAACAAGGTTTAAAGAAGGTTTAACATTAGCTCAAAACCCAGTTTTTGCTAGTTGAATCTTCATATTTTTAGCTCGAATCCAGATTTTTGCGAGGAAATTCCTCATTTGGTTACCCAGGGGTAAACTAACATAGATCTGGAAAATGATCTATTCATGGTATTTTTTTCCCACACCTATGTTAGGTTACAGGAGGGTACACCCCAATTTTTGTTGGATAATTCCCAATATTGGATTGAAAAAAGTGCAGGAAACCCCCATGTTTGATGATAGACGCCATGGTTTCCGGTTGAGATTTTCCCTTAAATCCATCTGGATAAGTCATAACGACCTCACTGCGACGTCACTGGAATGATGGTTAGATTGCGGGGAATCATTCCCTAATGACCGCAAGTTTCAGGTTAGTGAATTGTTATGATTTAGCCAGATTAATGGATTATTAATCATCATTAACGACTATTAACCATTATTAACCACTATAGTCACCACTATTAATGGCTTATGGTTTGAAATCCCACCAGAGCTGGTTTCCTTTGCAGACATTACCAGACGCTTTCTATGGAAAATGCTCCCCCCTCCCTGGCACCCCCAAGCATAGCACAACTATACCCAGATCTATTGCGGAATAGTTATTCTCATAGTGATTCCCACAGTGATTCCCCATGAAACATGGAGCTGGTTGTTATAATGAACCCTCTGGTTATGACTAACAGTTTGCCATGGTATAGATGGCCCATAGAAATCGATGGTTTACTGAACTCAAAAGTGGTGGATCTTTCCAGTTCGCTATGTTAGTCATAACCAGATGGTATCCATTTATATCCCACTAGTATTGGTTATATCCAATCATAGTCTTGTAATAACCATCTATAATAAATAGGTAAACCCAGAGGGTAACCCAGATTCATCGCAGTATTCTTTGCAGGACGTCCTGGCAGAGCTGGGCCGGGTGAGTAGCGAAGCATTGCAGCTGCTACGCACCGTGCGCGCCTTGAACGCGGAGGCGTGGCAGCGGCCATGTGCTGCCAGAATTCGGTGGTTAAAACTTTGGGGTTAAGAAGGATTAATATAAAAAATAGGGGATCGAACAAAAGTAAAGGTTTTGAATAAGGATTCAAGCAAGAACAATTGAACATTTGGGAAAGATGAATGAAGAAGGAACCATTGGGAATTACGCCACAAGAATGTGGGGTTAACACAACTGGGAGATTGACCAACAAAAGAATGGTTTAAGCAGCAGCAACATCATCTTTTGGTTACCAAGTAGCTCCACCACTAAGAGTACATGGCACATTTGGACAGCACATTTTAACCACATCCACTCGGTATCAACATTAGGGCTGTGCCATCTGTATTTTTTGATGTTTGAGCCTCTCAACATGCGATACACTCTGGTGGTGGCCATGGAACATACCAACTTTTCATGAACATTTTTACATATATTTGGGTATGGGTCAATACCTATAGATACATTTTTAGTGGGATGAACATCCATTTACCAGCTATTTTGGGGTTCACTAGGTACCAGGGTTTTGACCCATCCCCATTTACTGTAGGATCATCGGATAATCATTGAATTTTGGGTGATGTTATGTGATGTTCGATATTGATATTGCCAGGTGATCCGGCATAGCCCGGCATAGCGAAGATGTCCCTGTTATGGCATGGGCGTTCAGGATTTGCATCGGCGACTCTTCCAGCGACAGAATGTCCGGGTCACAGGGATGGAGGGATGGGAAGACGAGAGGCCGCATCCAAGCAGGTGATACGATAGGAAACCACGTGTTTTATGGGCTAGATTAATATTTATATGGGTATATTATACGGTATATTTCTATATTTATTATACATTATTATGCATTATTATGCATTATGTTTGTAGTGGGTTAAAATCAAAGACCCCCGAGTTGTTGGGGTAGTTCTTCCGATTCGCAGGGTGACTTCACCCTGCTACCCTGCTAAAAATCACACCCAAATAGCAATGAGTTGTTGCTGGATCGTTATCCCTCCGTCACCACTGACATACCCATCTTCCAAATGCCCCCATTTGCAATGGTTGGTAGACAATTTTTGCTGATGTTGATGATAATTGTTAGTACAGTAACACATGTCAACGGACCCACCATTTTCATTCATTCCTCAGACCAACATGTGAACCACACATCTTCACCACTCGGCCTATCCGTATCCCGTCACCATTTTTTTTCCAAATCCTTGGCGCGAACCAAACAGAGGACATCATCAATGCCACACAGCGCCAGCGAGGCGGAAATGGATTCGACTGATCCAAAGGATGGCATAGACATTGATGATCCAAAGGTTGAATAATCACCAAGCGAAAATGGTACTGTAGTAATGACATATTACTGGCCCGGTATGATTTTTAATGAGCATGATATAATAGCAATGATATAATCATTGTTTGATGTTATTACTATCCAACAGATAATCATTGAACATGATAGTAATAACATGCAGATAAGCATATCAACCTAACTATTGACAACACAGAATCGTGAAAGTAATCATCCATAGGTTGATTATGATAGTATTTACATAGTATTACTATGATTCTGGTTGATACATGTAATATATAACAATAACAATGATTTTCACACAGTCGCAATTTCTTGTGATCCATTGTGATTCTGGTTGAACAATGACAACGGTACAATGACGAACAATAAATGATACGATAAGCTATTGATAGTAACATATAGTAGATCTATTCTTAATGATTCTTAATGATTATTAGGATTCTTAATGATACGGTACAATGATGATAACAGCAATATTTTTCTTGCCATGAACCTTTTCGTAGCGACCTTACTGGAGGTCACTGAACATGTTCGTTCGAAAAAGGGCTGAGAAAAGAACCATGGCTTTATAAACATATTTGAGAAGCATTAAACAAAGATAAACAATGCCCAGTTCCACTCATAAATTTTGTGGGGCTATAGCGGCTATAGTTCACCATAGTTGTAGGAGTAGGAGTGTTTTTTTTTCTCAACTTATGGAGGTTATTTCATCCCCTAGCCATGTTGCCGGCCTGGCCACCCCATCCCGTATTGATGACTGGATTGGTGATCCAATGGATGGTTCACATGGATGGATCCATCCAGAAATCAACGACCCAACGATCCAGCTATGAAGGTTATCACTGAAGTGTGGGTTAGCTATGGATGTTTATTTTCTGATTTCATAAAATTATGAATCAACTGTTTATCAACTATCAATCCAAAGATGTGTGGCTTAAATCACAACTTGTGCCGCTTTAATCCGAACAGCCAGGCGTAGCCCTTGGAGTCTTCTCAGCTGCCAGCAACGGATTGGGCGTACTGCTACAGATGGTGTGCCTTGTCACCTTGTCGGTGCGAATGAACTGCGAAAAAGAAAACTCAACTGTATCCGACCATAGAAATCCAAATTAGGCAGAAACGTATTCTGAAAATTTCTGAAAGAATTGGGAAGATTCGAAGATTCCATCTTTTTCCAAGTGGTTTCTTGTTGCTCATTTTTTGCACTTTTCTTCCAGCCATGATCATTGGGGCGCCTTTGACCCAAGGACCTTGCTGATCGGCAGTAGCGCTGTGTTGGCGGGATCCATGACAGCAGAGGCGGGGATTTTTTCGGAAAAGGTGGACGATGTGTGTTGTCTAACCGCAATCTACAAATAGCTATTGAAAATGGCCCAGTCGAAATAGTGCATGTACCCATAAAAAATGGTGATTTTCCATAGTTATGTTAGTTTACCAGAGGGTAATTGGGAGCTGATTGAGTGGAATGGCTTCGAGTGGTCACAAAAAGTTCACATTTGTGAGTAACTACTGATCTACTGGCCATTCAACCGAAGATATTTCTTTGTCGATTCCTGACCAAAAGGTCCCTCGCAATCTTTCCAGGCGCTCGCGACCTATCTGCTGTATCTGGACACTGCAGTGGACAGCACTTTGGCATTGGCAAAGTTGGGGAGCGCCTTTTTCCAATGCATCTGGATTTCTGGGTTTTTTTCTATTGGGATGGGTCAAAACTCTGGAGCCTGGTGAACATTTTTTTGCTGGTAAATGAATATTCATGCCCCCAAAATTGTACTATAAAGGTATTGACCCATAGCCATATTGCTCTGGATAAATTATAACGATCTCACGTCGCGAGCTGCTCCGAGGTGCCTTGGAGCTGGGTATAGCACCTTGGATGCACCATGGCCCCATGGCCCTTGGATGCCCCATGGCCCATGAATCCTATAGGGAACTCGACCGACTTTCCGACGCCAGGAGTGGTCTTCCTGCAACGATGCCCTGGGCTCCGCCGAGCGCGTCTTAGGGATTCTGGCCCAGGGCGTCACGCGGCCGAAGGGTTCGATTTCTGCAGGCGCGTGAACTGGAAGCAGTTCAACATTGGAGAAGTTTGCCAACCCAAAATCTCCTTAAGACTACATGATAGTTGAGGATAGTCTTTTGGATAGTTGAGGTCTTTTGGAACGTCATTTTCTGCGCTGAGGCATGGCAGTACCGAAAGGAGATGTGCTCTTCGACTCGGTCTGCTTTGCCTATCCATCAAGGCCACAGCATCAGGCGTGGGAGCTGGAGCTGTCAATTTGGTCATTTTGAAGTGCAAAGTTGTCCTACGGAAAGCCTCAAAAAACATCTCAAAACGTTTTAAACTGCTTTAAAAATTTTAAAATTCCGTGATTTTTTTTGATGAAAACAATATTAAACCATATTAAACCATATTAAACCCCTCAAATTGATGGCATGCCTAAGGAACTCCGAAGCCAGCCTGGCTTCGTTGATATTGGATCTCTTCAACCAGGTCTTGGCCAACGTGTCCTTACACTGCGCGGCAGGGAAGACCACGGCGCTGGTGGGCTTCAGCGGTTCAGGTCGCTGGTGATGCTGCTGGGATGGGGATGGGATGGGGATGTCTCCAAGTTTTTTTTTGGGTTAAAATTTGGATACCTCAGATACCTCCTATTTTTTGATTCATAGAAAAAAACGACGATGTCTAATGATATGATATCCACTGATGTGAAATCTGTGAAGATGGGCGACCCCTCACTTGGAAGCCTGCAGATCAAAGCTCTGGAGGCAAATCTTCCCTGCTGAGTCTTCTGCTTCGCTTCTATGACTTGCAGGACTGCCTTCTCAACAGCTGCCATGATGCCATGGACAAACCAATAGACTGGCAGATACCTTGCCAGGAGGCTGAGGGTTGCGTGAAGTTTGATGATGTCAACGCCTTAGTGAAGCCTTGCTCTCAACTGTAACTGTGCAGAATTTGGGGTAAAACTTGGGAGGTATCCATGGCGATAGCGCCCCGATGCTGTTTTAACATGATCCGGCAGCCCACCCCAGGCCGACGTCCGGCAGTTGGATCCAGTCTGGTTGCGACGGCAGTTGGGACTGGTGCCACAGAGTCCGCGACTCTTTCGCGGAAGCATTGCAGCTGGGAGCCCAAGACGACCAGTGAGGGTAGCTGGCCTAGGGGGGCTCGCTAACCAGGGTTATCATCCGTTGAAAGTATCAAACATGCACCAGAACGGATGGAACATTTTGTTTGATGCCCACGTGTTTATTTTGTGTCTAACATATAAACATATGGAGTTACATGGAGTTAGCCTTTGACCTTGCAGAATAAAGTACTCAGGGTATAGATAGCTGGGTTTGTCCAGATATCCTATGGGGATGGGAACACTTTTTTTTGCCCCCCCCAGTTATTAAAGTTGATGAAGTTGTATAAGTTGGGTTATAACTTATAACCCCTTTCAAATATAGTTATAAGTTATAAGATGTTATAAGTAAGCATCAAACACCATAGTTACAATTATTTGCACCAACTAAGCTATCACAAACGGGGCCCCCACTCCGTAGGTCTCTGTAGGTCTTTTGTGATGATTTATTTCGGCCAGTGACTTTCAGTGACTTCAGATGACTTCAGCACTTCAGGAGAATATCGCCTGGGGCTATCCCAGTGCCTCCTTTGCAGAAGTCCGTGCTGCGGCCCAAAGCGCCCTGGCGGCGGAGTTCATCGAGGAACTACCCGAGGTCGTGAGGGTCGTGGTCGTGGCGGGGCACAACTTGCGGTTAAGTCTCCCAAAAAAACCCGGGGCAGAAAAGTGTAGAGTGCGCCCGCAGATTTCATTGAGATCATTTGGAATTCCCAGTTGTTTTTTCTTTTTTGATGGTTGCTTAAATCCATTTTGACATGTTATTTCGTGGAAATTCAACCAAACTTGGGGGAAAGTTGTGGCAAATTGATGCATAGAACTGGATTCTTGGCATACTATCGAAACTAAAAGTTTAAGTCCCCAGTTTGGGGTTGAGATATGAGATTTCAGCTGGAAAAACGATGATTCGACGCCATCATTCCTGTATTGTAATGTGGGTCAAAATGTAAAGCCCCGATCCATACCCTGAACCCACAGGCCGATCCATACCCCCGATCCATACCAAAACGCAGGTGATCCAGACCCGTCTGGATCACCGCGGGCCGATCCATACCCGAATTTTGACGCAACCCCAATGTATTTTAAGCATTCCACATTTGCCTAGAGTCAAAACTGAATATCCTCGGAACCATTGACATTAGTCATGTGAAGTAGGAACCGATCCCGTATTGTGGTGCTGAATCTAAACCCATACCGCGCGATCTTCCATCATGCCGTGTGGCGCGCGACAGGGCTATGACACCATCTGCTCTGATGACAAACTTCTGTCTGGAGGCCTGCGTTTGAAGTGACACTTAACTTCTCACCATGTTTTTCAACACGTGTTTTTTAACTGTTCGGAAGATTGTTGCGAAAGAACGGACATCAGGAAGATGTGTCATCAGTCTTAAGACTCATTTTCCAAGCGATTGATACTGATGTGCGTCCATCCCACCACAATTCCTGATCCACAGAAGGTAAATTGACAAGGTCATGTTTGCCCTCATCAACAATCGACAGGTACTTTTGAAAAACATGAAGCAAGTGAACAGTTTGAAGGTGTTGGAGGTATCCCCTTCACTAAGGTGTTTGGTCAAGTCGTTGGAGTTTTGAACGGTTTTGACATGACAAAATATGATAAGATATGTATTCTCCTCGATAGTCATGTTGACTCCCATGTTTAAAGCCAGGCGTCCGTTTATTCATTCCCAATTTCTGATATAGGTAGTTTAACCTATATTTTGCTGTTAAAATACCAATGTCTGCTGGTGAAAAGCACGATTCTTGGTTGAAAGTTGAAATCCCAAGTCAATATCAGCCAAGATCATCCCATTTTTGCCAAGCAGCAATGCAATGTTTGGTCGAATTTTCTGAATTCAGCAACAATTCCCATATTTGTCGCCCCAAAAAACAACTTTGACTCGTTGAAATCTCCAACTTTCGCAGGTCAACGACAGCGCATTGCCCTGGCACGCGCTCTGCTGCGAGACCCGGCCGTCTGGAGCCTTGGAAGACGTGAACGCGGATTCAACATAAGAGTCTTTATGGCTCCAATTTTTCTGGATGTTTGGATGTTTGTGTGTGTTGCATTTGTCATTGTTTTTGGGTTGTTATATGATATAATATATAATATATATATATATATAATATATTATATGGGATTATATGGGTATATATGTTGATATATGTTGATATATGTTGATACATGTTGATATTTGTTGGCAGAGTTGTGTTTTTGGTGTTCGCTTCACCGTGACGTCATGATTTTCGATAAAATCGACTTTGGGAGGTGCTGCTCTTGGATGAACCGACCAGCGCCCTGGACCCCAAGTCCAGTGCACTGGTTTCCCAAGCCTTGGAGCAGGCAGCAAGTTGGAACCATCTGGAACCATTCAAAAGCAGTTTTTTTATGCTAACAAAAATCCAGAATCTTGAAATCTGCAATAGCAACCAAAAAAGCGCAACCCGAAATACTGTATCTACAGCTATCTTCAATAGCTAAAACTTTAGACATTTTTACTTGTCAGGAGAGGATCTGCCGATGTTTGGACCGTCAGGCACAGTGGTCCACGCGACGGAATTGCCACCGGACTGTGATTGCCGCGGGCGCCCAGATGGACGCAGCTGCAAAACAGTGGTATGTCTTCATTGGATATTCAATCATTACATATCATTACCTCATAAGACTTTGACTTCATTAGTTTCTATAGTCTATAGTGGGAATCAAACTTGGGATAGCTAGGACGGTTTTGGATCACATAGTTGACCAGTTATCAGTCGATCCATGGGTTTCAATTGCACCCGTTTCTACACCTTCTTGATTTATTGAAACCTGCTGGTTCCTTGACCCCCTTCATTCAATGAATTGACATAATTGACATAAAAAGTGAAACCAAAATTCACACCCACAAGTTGTGATCCATTTTGAACTCCCCAAAGATGGTGAGAACATGTGAGAACATTTTTCTCATGTCTGAAAATGGCTCAACGGCTCTCTGAGATCGTCGCGCATGACCTGCGCCTGGCTGCCGTGCAACGAGCAGAGAAGATCGTGGTCATGGATCGAGGTTGGGAAATGGCTCCAGCTTGGGTCGGAAGTTTAGTCATGGCATGGAAAACTCAGAAATATTTGGGGATGGGTTTGGAGTTGATGGGGTTGGCTTGGATGATTTTCTTGATGACGCGAAATGGGGTGGTTTTGATAATAGGGTTTCATGGGTTTGGGAGTTGTTGATGGATTATTTTAAAAAGCGTGTTTGGATATGATACATGGTAAGATGGGTTTGGGCATTGATAAGTTTGGTAGTCGATGGCTTTAAGATGATGATCATGCTTGAACATCATGGATTTCCGGCCAAGGTTCGGTCCAGATGAACATCTATCTCTACCCTTTGGTAATCAAACAGTGGAATGGACCATTACTATTACGCATTTATGCATGATTTTACCATTCAACTGCCAAAGTATAGGGGATTTCCCATTTCCATGTTTGATTTCCGGAGGGTACCCACATATTGAAATGACTGGGATGGATGGATTGGATGGCTACTCCCAGCTTGATACAGCGATCGTACACGGGTCAAATATGGATGTCGTTGGAACAACACGTGTACCCCTTTTGTCCCCGAAGTAGTTGATTGAAAGTGAAAACACTTAGATCATCAGAACTTGGATTCATAGTTCGCCAGGTTTGGTTATTTCTTTGTGCAACCAATTGGATGAGACCCAAGACGCCCACCAGGACATACCAAGGACATACCAGGTGACTTCATGGTGACTGCAGGACCGAAGGCTCAAGGCGAGCGGGGCGAAAGACATCGCGTCATGGGACGGATCTGGGACCTGGAGCCATGGCCCACCTCTTTCCGACTTTTCAAAGGGAAGCCACCGGCGGAACCACCCATCCATTGTGGTGGGGCGGCAGATGAGCAGAAGGAGTTACTGGAAACCATGCAACTGAGATCAGCTGGAGAACGGAGCACGGGGAGGAAAGAGGATGGCCCCGCAACCAAGCAGCTGAAGAATTACATGGCGGAACAGGAGGGCCAGCCGCCGCCGAAAGCCTGTGCTGGTCCGAAACATGATTTCAGTGGAATGAAGAAGGAGACCTTGATAGCGACGCCTTTCAAGATTGAGAGGCACGGGCTCTGGTTTTATGTTCTGTTTTAACATCACCAAACTGGATGGTTGGAGATGAGATCAATGAGATCTCTTATTTTTGATTATTCTTGTATGTGTTTGTTGGATATTTAGAGACTTTAAAGACATGTCACCAGCCCTGGCCACCCTGTGAGGCCGTGGACTGAGAAAACTCCTGATGAGAACGCCCCCAAGGAACCACCAGGCCTCACACCAGGTCGACCACTGGGTCGTGGTCCAAAGTTTCCTGGTCGAGAGGAACTGATCAACGAAGGTCCATTTCCATTGAGGTCTCGAATAGCTCAGCACCTGGGACTTCTGAGCGAATTTCGACATTTTCTTTTTTGAGAAATCCTTCAGTTTGTTTAAGGGGACTGAATTTACTTGGCTCATCTTGGCTCTGAAATGTCAAATCCAAATCCCAGGTTGGCTACACACGTCTACTATCTCTGGGGCGAGGCCAAATTCACGGATTATCTGGCTCGTGGAACTCCCGCGCAAACCGCAGCGCTGAATCTGGAGCACTTTGCCCGTCAGGCGCACCATGCAGCGGGCCAACTGCTGGAGGATTCCCATGTGCCGTTGGCAAGGCCACCACCCAACTTGCCAGTGGAGGTCAGCGAAATCCCACTGCTGCTGCTACCTTTGAGGCATGGAGTGGAAACTGTCAGAAAGCATGGAGAATTTCTGTAGTCTCACAGCCCAGGAAGATCTGAAGCGAGGCCCAAAACAGTCGATTTTGAAGGTTTCTGATGCTGTGGATTTGTTTTAGAGATCCTTCCCAAGCCAAGCTCAACAAGGATTTCCATTGATGATTAAGAACCATCAGGCATTCCTTAAACTAGTCCTGCAATATGTTGTGAACCCAAACACTTGGGATCCCAAATGCAACGATCTTCTGCAGAGGACGAATCTTGGAGCAGGGACGACATGCAGAACTGCTGGAGTTGAATGGCGCCTACAAGAGGATCGGGGCGCCCAGCAATGTTCCACGGCTGTTTGATAACATGATGTTGACAAAGAAACAACAATTGCGGGAAACTATGCAGGAATGTAGATTCAGTTTTTTTTAAATGGTATATTTCCTGTGATTTATTTCGCCATTGACATGATTGGATGTCGCAGATCCATGCGGATCCCAGAATTTGCAGCATGATTCAATCAAGTTCAACCAATGACACGCTCATTTTTTTGAGGCTGCTCAACCATCAACCAGTCAGGGCAGATGTTCATTTCCGCCAAGCTGAGATCTCCGGATATGAACCGAAACGAGGTCCTTTTCCCTGAAGAAACTGGGAGTACCCTACGTAAGTGATCTAAGTGATGTGAAGCTCCCGGGGTGTACCAAGTACTCAACTGGTCCGGTGGTTCAGCTCATACTTCTGATTTTCCTTCTTTTTTGGGGTGATGGAAACCATCATATTGTTGCACACATTGGTATAGTTATATCATGTTATATCATTGGTGGTTAAACCGAAATATTATGAACTCATCGAAGGAAGATATGGACAGATGGAAAAGCAGAGGTGGGAAGAGCAGAAGAGAGAAGATCAGAGAAAGAGTGAGAAGAAAGAAGATGCCGGTGCGCGAAAAGGTAGCAAAGTCGCGAAACACTGTGTTTTTCCAATGATTTGTGGCTCCGGAGGGTCAAAAAGTAGGCTCGCTCAAGCGGCGGGTGCGGAGCCATGTGGCCAGCTGAGAGATGAAAAATTGCACGCCGTTGTAGCGCGAAGCACATTTCCAAGTCAAAATGTACAAAACACACCATGTTCGGACCACTTTTGGAAGTTGAGATGTCGAAAAAGTGTATGCCGTTGTGGTGCGAAGAAGATTTCCAAGTCAAAATGTACAAAGCACACCAGGGTTGGAGCCCTTTTGGACATTCAGATGTCGTTTCGCTTGGCCGGCGCAAGGGATTGTGCACCTGGTCAAAAGTGAGCAAAAACTTGAGGGTTTTCTAGCATTTCCAAAAATGATGGTAGGCGTGGGACATTTGAAGAGGATCTGGTAAGATGCATTTTCCGTGGAGGCGCAGTACAAGAGACATGTTCATCAGAGATGTTATATAGGAGGTCAGGGCGCTGATTTCCTGAGAGGGGTTGCATTTTGGAGCATCAGATCTTCAGTTTTGGGAAGATGATTTTGTGTGAAAGGTGCAGCACTTTGTATGACCTGGCATCACTTTTTCGTGGCAGGCACAATACTTCAGAGACATGGACTGGAAAAATCGCAAAACGCATTGGTACTAGGCCGTCAGCTCTGCATTCAACCTTCCATTGTTGAAGGAAGTCTCGCAGAATTGCTTCGTTTTGATGTTGCCAACTTCAAAGATTGACAAAGTCTCGCAGAATTGCATCGTTTTTGATGTTGCCAACTTAAAAATTGAGGAAGTCTCGCAGAATTGCTTCGTTTTCAAGCTTGCAGATTCGAGATAGACAGACAGACAGACAGACAGACAGACAGACAGACAGACAGATAGATAGATAGATAGATAGATAGATAGACAACTACAACTACACTACGCTACTACTACAACTGCAAATACAAATGCAGCTACAACTACATTACAGTACACAACGCTACGCTACACTAATTACATTATATTACGCTACAACTACAGCTACAACTGCAAGTGCAACTAAAATTGTAACCACCACTAAATTGCGCTACACGACCCTACACTACCTTACGCTACACCGCACTACAACTGCAACTACACTACCTTACGCTACACCACACTACACTAGACTACACTGCACTATACGACACTACAGTACACAACGCTACAGTATACTACAATACACTTCGCTAATTACACCACACCACAACTACAACTACAACTCTAACTACACTACAAGTATTACACATTACAACTACAACTCCACTACACCACGCTACAACTACAACTACAACTGCACTACACCACACTAGATCCAGCAGTTGTGGGTGAGGTGACCACTGCCACCATTGCAGCCACTCCAAAAAACACAACTTCAACCACCTTTCGGTCCATCAATGGATTCGCTCTGCCATCCGTGATTCACAACAACCAACCTCTCCTATAGGTTTCCTATTTTTGAACTTCCGCCGCCGCCTTGCGCGGTATTTACAAGGTTATTCCATTAAATATCATATTCATATCATATTCATATAATCCCCATATTTTTTCAGCGTGGCATGGCGCAGGCTCATGGAAGATCAGCGGCTCCCGACTGAACACACGCCGCGCATTTGAAAACGCCAGTTGAATTGGTGGATCAATTGGAAGTCTAGCGGGCGCTTTTCTTGGGAAAATCCGTGACAATCCCCACCAGAAACCCGTAAAAATCCATGGTATAGCGCATTTCCCATGAAATATCAATGTTTCCTGTGGATTTTCCCACCAATCCAATGAAATTGGCATTTGAGATGATTTTGGGGTGGGTCACGACCGATGATAACAGGCCTAGCACATTTGACAAAACATATGTTGGGGGTATGAACATCCATAAATCCCAGCTGTTTTGGTATGAACAGCAGAAGTGCACGGGTTTTTATTCATACAGGTACCAGTTTAAGCCAAGTATTGTTGATTTGGGGATGATCGGGCTCAATTTATCAAGTGAACATTGGGGATGTGGGATGGGTGAACTGAAAAGGTACATATAAAAATAGATCAAACTAGTGTTGACAAACTCAACAAGACATTGGAAGGTTCCTTTTAATGATGTTGCAAAATTGACCACGTGCTGGGACACCTCGCCGCCTCAAGCCACATCATTGGAGCAGAAAAACTACTGGATTTCTGGTAATTTCTGGCAACTAAGCTGCCGATCTTCCACTGTTAATTTTGATTTGATGTTGTAGCTATGAGTCTCCTCAAGATTTCTTTCCAGTGGCAGTGGTGTTGTGAGCTTTTCAAGCGAACGCCGTGGCAAGCAGCGGCAAGCGTGGCGCATGCAAGGTGCGATGCTACAGCCATTGTTTATACTCTTCGGTGATCAAAGATAGCAAAGTAGGAAATCCACTCTAAATGAAGATTTTAGTGATCTTAATGGGAAAAATTATCGAACTAAATGGGGGCGGGGTTCGTGGATTTTCCTGCACGCCATGTTTGAGTAGCGGAGGTTAATGGGATGAGTGATCTAGAAGCCGTTTCTGATCCTTTTCTGGCAAGTGCAGCGAAGAGGATTCCCAGCATTGGAGGTACCATGACTACACTCAGTATGAAGACATATACGCGCATATACATAAATATATTTATATTTTTATACACATAATCCAGTATATACATTACATATACATGCATTACATACATACATACATACATACAAACATACATATATAAATAAATATTTACGTAAATACATACATATTCTACAGTATATACATTACAAATACATATACATTTACAGATACATACATACATACATACACTACACTACACTACACTACACTACACTACACTACACTACACTACACTACACTACACTACATACATACATACTGTTACATACATACTGTTACATACATACTGTTACATACATACTGTTACATACATACTGTTACATACATACTGTTACATACATACTGTTACATACATACTGTTACATACATACTGTTACATACATACTGTTACATACATACATACATACATACATACATACATACATACAGACACACACATACATACATACATACATACATACATACATACATACATACATACATACATACATACATACATACATACATACATACATACATACATACATACATACATACATACATACATACATTACATACATACGTTACATACATACACATACATACACATACATACATACATACATACATACATACATACATACATACATACATACATACATACATACATACATACATACATACATACATACATACATACATACATACATACATACATACATACATACATACATACATACATACATACATACATACATACATACATACATACATACATACATACATACATACATACATACATACATACATACATACATACACACATACATACATACATACATACATAGATACATACACACACACATATATATATATATGAGCATAACGTGTTTCACCGCCCCCACCCAGTGTTCTCAAGTATTCTATATGTGCACGTTTCAGAGATGTTGTGCATGTTTCAGAGATGCTGTGCACGTTTCCCAGCAATTGTGCACGTTTCACAGAAGTTGCGCACGTTTCACAGAAGTTGTGCACGTTTCACAAACCCCCTAATGATGTTCGTGTTCAAGTGCATTGGGGCGACCAAACACGTTCTCCCGATATGTATATATATATATATGTATATATGCATATACATATACACACATAATATATATATATGCAGACCTATTTTTTCTGTAGAAATTTGCCTCCTCTTGTCGACTGTGCCTGATACACTTCAACGTGACATTCTCCGCCTCAGGCGCCCTTTTCCAGTCCTTTTCCACAGGTGGGGATTCCAACATCTGTGCTATGATCAATGTGGCTATGGGTCAATATTGAGTAGAAGAAGTAGATGGTTAATATTAAAACTATATCCTAAACTCTTCGGGCTCAAAATTTCAACCCATCCCTATGTGAATGCCACACAGGTCAATCTGGTGGATCTCCAAGCTTGGTCTGGACTCCTAGATGTCGGTCATGTTTCCAGGGAGACGAGCGGAAAATGGATGGATGTTACACTGAAAATCATTCAACAGCCATCC